TGCCTTTTAAGACTTTTTAAGGACCCGTGGGAACCCTGTGCTAGATTGTTAGCAATGTAGACCAGGAGCTTTTCTGAACATTTTATGTCAATCTAAAACTATGCATTTCTAATAAACAACCAAACACTAAGCCTGGAAGCTTGCTAAGCTAATACGCTGTGAGAAACTCTGCAAATAATTTAAGACCTATGATATCAAATTTCATATGTTACAAATATAAGACCCCGATGGAACCCTGTTATCGTCATGAACACAGTTTTGTTGTATTTTAAAATAAAGCAACACGATGTATAACTTACAGGAGATGAAGTCGGAGGATCGGTTTTATCAGGTGGCGAGTGGAACTTGACAAAAGCCAGCCCGTATGCAATGTTCTGAAAAGTTTAAAAGACAAAATGAACGCACTAATGCTGATAAAACAAACACCTATATTCAGCTTAAATGCAACAGAAAAAGGCAAAACTAAAGATTCCCATTGACAACTATTTCACTTCACAGGCTGTTATAATAATTAAGCAGTAATGTTCACTAAAGCAACTGTTTTCATTTATAGGGTCAGAAATGTGTTGCTTCATATGCTGCAAGCTTCAAATAGATGTAATGTATAATGAATGTCAGGCCTCCGAATAAATACGTAACTTCTACTACCAGCCCCCCATATGGAAAAATTCACAACTAATACATTCATCCTGAGAAAAAAAGAAAAAGATAAGCTGATATGAAACCAGTACTTCCCCCACCTTGCTGTATGGCTGGGTGCACACAATTTTCACTCTGTCCCACTTCTCCTGAGCCGTGCTTTTCTGCAACTGGTTGGGTCCAAAGAAACGAACCCGGTTCATGTTGGTGCCATTTCGGCTCTCAGTAGGGGACATGAAGGAAGACGTAACAAGAAGAACCTGAAAGAAAGAAAGAAACAAAGAACATCTTTATATGTTCATAAGCTTAGGATGGGTAGGAAGTGAGAAATGTAAAAGTGTGATTAGTCTAAATAAAACCTCATAGTCTTGGTTTTTGACGGCTGAAGAATTTCCGACCAACACTTCGATGAAAGCTGATCCTTCATTTCCGATGTCAATACTGTGGACCTGCTCCTCCTTCTCAAACTGGGGAAGAAGTACAAAAAAAATAAGGGTGGAAGAGGAAAAAAAATTCAGTGAACATAAGAGAAGCAGATCACTCCTCACAGTTACGGAAAGTGGCTTCAGTCTGACAGGATCAGATATTTCACATTAGAGCTTAGAGAATTATTAAACATTAATCATCATAATTAATTTGGGTAGTACTGAAATCTTTGATTTTCATGCTTGTTTATTTGGGTTTTTTTTCTCTACAGAGATGAAAATAGTTGCAATGCCGCATTTTACATGTACGGTAACTGGAAAGGTTCTGATAAAAAAATATATGAATTTGCAAAACAGTATGGGCAGCATAGAATATCTGTAAAAGGCTGCCTTCATTTCCAAATAACAAAGATCACAGAAAATCTCCAATTTCAGAACCTCTGCTTCGGTGGGAAGAGCTGAAAATATTAGTTACTCTAATTTATTGCTTTTAATGCTCTTAGAAATAATTTTAATGCGATCAACAAGTATGTATGACTAATATA